CAATTTTTTTTCACATTTCTTTTTCTTTTCTTCTAATTTTCTCTACTCCCCCCCCCCCCACCCCCACCCCTCCGAGTACATTTTGCTCAATTTTCCCCCACTTCTCTGTTGCAGCCAGAGGTAGGTCCCCAAATGGCCATTATACATGTATGAGTTTTGACACTGAATGTAGCAGTGTTTGACTCTGGGGGAACATCTTAGTTAAGACCCAATCCTATCCTCACTGATGTCCAGACACACTTTGAATTTTTATGAAGGTTTACATACTCCTTGCATTAGACGGAGCTTCTACAACATCAAAATATTTCAACTTGCTTTACAGATAATTACTGTCATTTATAGTGTCTGATATGTAGGTAAACATGGCAACCAGTTTGCGCAGGGTAAAGGGTTTTTAACCCGCACAGACCTGTCTTGACGTTGATTAAACTTATTTCATATAGGACCTTTACAGCCAAAGAGAGAAGAGGCTTTTATTCCATTAGTCTGAAGGAGATCCTTGAGATAAAAGGGTAATATTCTAACCCACTGTGACACTCTTACAATTTCTATGTAAATTATGCACCATTCAGGAGCCTCACCAGCAGAATTACCCACTTAAGGGCCTCTGAATTGCGATGATAAGAGAATTGAGAGTATTAGAAGTTTTTATTAATGGGAATTGTTGTGTGTAGGTAAATTGTGTGAACGTCACAAAGGAAAATGAATGTGGGTTAAAAAAAGGCAGTATCAGCACAGCCAAACAGAGGATGAATTTCCCAAACAATCTTAACTTGCTGTTGCAACCCAGGATAAGGTACAGAGTAGGTTCTTCATCCTCGCTAACAGACAAGGTGAGACATGTGGATATCTCATTGCAGGCTTCTGTGATAGATAGAAAGTATGATTGTGTGATTTCTTCAGCCAATTAGGTTGAAGTGGGACATAATCCAGACAAACTTTAGTACTCCAGTGCAATGCTGGGCTGAGAGAGCTTCAGTAATAATAATAATTATAATCCTTGCATTTGATATATCATGTTTTCGAGACGTCTCAAAGCGCTTCACAGAATATACTCTGAAGTGAATTGACTGAATATTTGTGGGTGAAACAGTCATGATTTGAATGACCAAATTATTATTATTTTTATTTATTTATTCATTTATTTGTTTATTTTTAAGGGTTTATTACCACCAGAAAAGTGATCCTCCAATCGTCCAACAACCGGGTTCCTATTTACTGCCAGGTAAACAGAGGTGGGTGGAGTAAGGAAACTTGCCCAATGTTTCACCCCGCCCGGGATTTAAATTTACAAGTTGGGTGGAAATAAGCAAAGAGTATGTATCCAACCAGTGGGTATTGGAAAACTGGTTGCTGTGATTGATTGCATTGTCCTGCCAACGTAAAATAATAATAATAATCCTTGCATTTATTATTATTATTATTTTGTATAGTGCCTTTCAAGTCAGGAGGACATCCCAAATCGCTTCACAAGATTTACTGTAATATGGTTTGACTCTGTATCTTGTGGGCAATACCAAAATACCAAATGTCAGGGTTATTATTCAATAATATTTCCATAACATTAAGCATGAGATAAAACAATTTCTAATTTAGGAAAATGTGTTCTGCGCCAGTGCTCTTTTCCTGCCAAGCAAGGAAAAATGTTCCCAGACGAAGTTTAAGGCAACACTGAAAATGATAAGAGTTAGGATCAGTCAAAGGAAAGAGAAAAATGGTATGGCACAGAAAATTTTAAATAAGCCTGAGGTAAGTTTAAGGAAAATTATTAGAAGGAAGCTAAGATTGAAATAAAATTGAAAAATCACTAATGAGTAATGGAAGTCCACATGGACAAAGAGAACAGAAAAATGAAAGAGTCAGAAAATAATAAGATTTAAAGACAGAGCGAGAAGAAGGAAAGGGCTTCAGGAAATTGGGGGGGGGGAGAAGAGGGGTATATATCTGCAGATGGGGAAGGACAAACATATGCCTCACCGCTTCAGTTACTGCTACACTTCTGAAAATCTCTATTTGTACTTCCTCAGGGTAAAATGGTGAAATAAAGTGCATTTTCTTTCCGCACTGTATACAATTATACACTATTAGGCACTGGCATTGTGGCTTAAGCACAACATACACTGGTGATCCCACGAGGTTACAATTCATCCAACCGACAGCAGTGTGAGGATGGGGGGGTTGGGGGGGGGGGGGGGGTGAGAGGAAGGAACTAAATAATAATGTGTAAACACCACAGGTCCAGGAGATCTGCTAAACTCCCAATGATGGGATACATTGCAGGGTCATCAACCACGAAATTGTTGGCTTTATAAAGCGAAGAGCTGCTCCAACTTCATTCGAGAGTGTCTAATACCTGCGTTACTGTTTGATGAACGTATCCAAACGGTTCACATTTCAGAACCAGATTTATTCGGTTAATTTCTATCTTCACAGTTTGTACTTCATATTGCATGAGGCAAACCTAAGACCCAGAATTTCTAATGGTCGTCGTCTCGAAACCATTGTCGTAAAGCGCTATATATATATCAAATGCAAAAATCAATACAAAGAGGTTAGGAAAGAAGTCAAAAAAAAACCAACAACAACAACCAGGAAGGCACAGAGGAATTATGAAACTAAATTATCAAGGAATATAAAAAGAAGTAGTAAAATATTCTACAGACATAAGTAACAAAAGAAAAATCAAAGTAGGAATAGGGTCACTAAGGGATGGACACCGTGAGCTCACAGGCGGCCACAGTGCAATGGCAGAAATATTCCAACAATTACTTTTCCTCAGGATTTACCTGGGAGGTGGGACAGGTGGACACGACAGCAGAAGAAGAGATCAAAAATGATATAAATACATTTAGGATAAAAATGGGGAGACATTGAACAAACTAACCAAGCTCAGGGAGGGTAACCCCTGGTCTGGGTGGATTGCATATAGTATGTTAAAATAATCTGAGGCACTAATACATAATATATAATAACTCATTAGAAAAGGGAGTAGTGCCAGCGGACTGGAGGATAGCTAACGGTACACCTATACTTAAAAAGGGGGATAGATCAAGGCCACAGACCTTCTAATACTGTACCTGATATGTTTGCCAGACCCCAAGAACAGGTGGAAGACACAGTGCCATTTAATGACTTTGGTACAGGAGCGCAGTTTATGCTGCGCTCAATCAGCAAGAACTGGAAGCCCCATTTCCTTCTCTGCACTGTGTGTGAGATGTGTTAACTGTGAGGGAAGTGGGACCCACGGGAGGAGGTTTGCCCTCTGTCTGTCTCTGTCTCTATCTGGTGCCGCGCACTCACTGACCTCTGGGGGTGATCCTGGTGTCACCCTGAACCAAGTGCAAGTCGGTGCATCCCGCAGTCAGACATGTATATCCCTCACCTGGATCAATGCACTGTTGCTAACACCCCCCCACACCCCCCCACCCACCCCCACACACCCCACCCCCCCCCACACACACACACCCCACACACACCCACACACTCCCCCCCACACCACACCCCCCCCCCCCCCCCCCCACACACACACACCAAGTCAAACAGCTCTGACCCTCCATCCCTCTTTTTATTGGGATTGGGTTTTCTGATTGGTTTCCAGATGTGAACCCAATGCCCCCTGTTACCCCCATTATGTTTAGGGGACAGTGGGTACCTCTGGCTAACCCTGACCCAGTGCTATCCTCTCTCTCCCCTCTCCTTCCCCACCGATAGCTTCACCTATCGATCACTGGGATTTGTGATTGCAATTGATCAGCGATTTCCCTGTGATTTAAACTTTTATTGTGAACGCTATATCTCTGGGATACGAAGCTTTTCCGGGGTTTGGTTCAATTTGCTCCAGTGGTTTCACTAAGTGATGAATCATATCGATCGGACGCTTATTCTCAATCTGATTTACAATCTCCTGCAACAGTCTCTTTAGGCACTAAATTATTTTGCTTTACTGCACAGTCTGGACAATCTTTCTCCTCTCCTCTCCCTCCCTCCCTCCCTCCCTTAATAAAACAGGACTCGTTTGAAATCCCCTATAGAATAAACAGATGCTATAGTTTGGAGATCTGTGTGTTTCCCAGTTAATTGATATTGCAGTGAGCAAGGCAAGGAGCCCCCCACCCCCTCTCTCTACCCCTCTCTTCAAGGGCAATCTCCTTCCCCCCCCCCTCTCTCTCTCCAGATGATTTCATCCCTGACAAGTCTTGTTGGTTGTGTCTTCTTCGATTGTTGGGACATGTGAGCCTGGCCAAGCCCCAGTGGCTTCCCCTGTGGTTTGTTTACCTGTGTCTGTCAGTGGGAGCTGGCTGGTTGGTTGGTTGGCTGGTTGGCTGTTTGGTTGGTTGGTTGGCTGGCTGGCTGTTTGGTTGGTTGGTTGGTTGACTGGCTGGTTGGTTGGCTGGCTGGCTGGTTGGTTGGTTGACTGGCTGGTTGGTTGGCTGGCTGGCTGTTTGGTTGGTTGGTTGGTTGACTGGCTGGTTGGTTGGTTGGCTGGTTGGTTGGCTGGTTGGTTGGCTGGTTGGTTGGTTGGTTGGTTGACTGGCTGGTTGGTTGGTTGGCTGGCTGTTTGGTTGGTTGGTTGGTTGACTGGCTGGTTGGTTGGCTGGCTGGCTGTTTGGTTGGTTGGTTGGTTGGCTGGCTGGCTGGTTGGTTGGCCGGCTGGCTGGTTGGTTGGTTGACTGGCTGGTTGGTTGGCTGGCTGGCTGTTTGGTTGGTTGACTGGCTGGTTGGTTGGCTGGCTGGCTGTTTGGTTGGTTGGTTGGTTGACTGGCTGGTTGGTTGGCTGGCTGGCTGTTTGGTTGGTTGGTTGGCTGGCTGGTTGGTTGGCTGTTTGGTTGTGGACAGCCTTGGGCTTGGCCAGTGTCAGTCACTCTGTCTCCTCTGCGCCAGTCACAAGAGGCAGAGTATATTGGCACAACCCATCCCGAAATCCCACTGCAGCGAGTACAGCACTGAGCCTTTGGCTGCTCAGTGAAACCTGATTAATCCTCCCCCCCCCCCCCCCCCCCCACACGCACACACACTCTCTCTCTGTATATATATATCTGGAGGGAAGAGCTCAGTCGCCCGAATGTCAGAGGAAGCGAAGAGACAGAGAAGAGTGTCGTTCTGTGAGGAGGAAATCCGTCAGAAGTGGAAGGAGGAGAATGGGGACTTGGGATCACACTGTCACAGTCTGGGACCAGAGGACAGGGATTTACATGGCCATCAGTCCTACACCATGTAAGTACTTTATTCCTTATCACAACCATTTCACCCCCCCCCCCCCCCCCTCACTACCTGATCCATTTCCCATTTTGTTCATTTCATGCGAATAGAATGAAGGAAATTGTAAGAACTAAAGGACGTTGAGACAAAGGTAATTTACCTCAAAACAATATTTACTGATGTAGGGCTTGTTTTGAGGGCAATGTGTGTCTCCCCAATGTTGGGTTAAATGCAAAACTTTTGAAATAAATCACGGCGAGTGTTGTCTCCCCCCCTCCCCACCCCCCCCCCCCACCCCCCACCCCCCTCCCCACCCCACGCGAAAAAAAATCTAACATTGATTTAAGCTTTGCTCTCGTTCATAGGAACCCGATTCAGAAACAGCAAACAGGGAAAAAAAAAGGGTTGGAATTAAATTGGATTATGTATTTAGTAAACTTCGAACTAATCCCATAGATGCAATTTTACTCTGGAGCAAATCCCCGAGTGGATGGGCAGGGAAACTGGTTATGATGCACAGCGGGATTTGTGTGAAACACTTTTTTTAAAAAAAAGAAATAATCCAATATTTTGCTGTTAAAAAGTTGAGTTAATGAAAAAGCAGTTTCCAACGATCTGACGATTGTTCATTGAGATTAAGCTGCAATACAGTTGCATCACTTGGTCCGACTTCAGCAGCAGATCTCAACATTCATCTTAAAAATAAATCTCGAGTTAAAATGAAGTGGGCGCTCGTTAAGCTGTCCATCCGTGGGACTCCTTCTCAAAATGAGCGCCACCAAGTGATTCAGACAGTCATTGACGTGCGTTACGAAGTGTGGACCAACATTTATCATCATTAAGTTAAATATAGCATCGTTACAGTGGGTGGAAGGCGCTGGAGTGGAGGTGGCGTTACCTCTTGAACCAGGACTGATATGAGTCGACATGTAGTTCTGTTCTTGTTGCAAAGACGAAGAACGTTACCGACCCCAAACCTCATTTTGTACCATTGCCCAACAGTGTGAGGTACATATATATAGCAATGGAACTGATTAGCTTCCGTCCACTCCCTCCCAGCAACAACATGTCATTTAGACAGAAAAACGTAGAAAACTAAGGGATGGAAAGGTGACATAGGTTAATCCTATTTTGCCCCAAATATGACAGTATTCCCTCAGAAGGAACCGAGTCACGCTGTAGACCAGATCCACTGTTACCAATTGCATTTCATCACTTTAACTCTTAATATGTATGTCTGGACAATAAATGTCAGAGACTAAATATAATGATAGAGAGTATCACAGGGTAACTTGATCATGCCCTAACCTACACACCTTACAGTCAGGCGGTCTGGATAGGGATGAGGAGCAAGGACCCGAGATAAAAAGAGGATGCAAAGGAGATTTACCAGAATGATGTCGGGGATGAGGGACTTCAGGTGTGTGGAGAGACTAGAGAAACTAGGATTGCTCTCCTTAGAGCAGAGAAGGTTAAGGGGAGATTTAGTAGAGGTGTTCAAAATTATGAGGGGTTTTGAGAGAGTAAATAAGCAGAAACTGTTTCCAGTGGCCAATGGGTCGGTAACCAGAGGGCACAGATTTAAGACAATTGGCAAAAGAACCAGAGGGGGATGAGATTTTTTTTTTTACGCACAGAATTTTACGATCTGGAATGCACTGGCTGAAAGGGCAGTGGAAGCAGCTTCAAAAATAACTTGCAAAAGGAAATTGGTTGTATACTTGAAAAAAAAATGCATGGCTATGGGGAAGGAGCGGGGGAGTGGGACTAATTGGATAGCTCTTTCAAAGAACCAGCACAGGCACAAAGGGCTGAATGACCTCCTTCTGTATTGTAGGATTCTATCGACTGCGTAAAAAATGACTGCAATTGAAATAGTATTCCATATCACTATATCACTCACTGCGTGCTCTTCAGCAGCTACCAGTAGCAGATCAGCCATAGCTTGAGAAGGAGACCGAGCTGAAGGGCAACAGCAACCAGCTGTTCCAATAAGCTTGGTAACCGTGGATAAGGTGGAACTTGTCAAGGAAGAAGCTGAAACATGGGCGCTGGTAGACTCATTGCTTGTCATGTCAAAACAGTGTGAGGTAGCAATAAACAAAGCAAACAGGTGAGAGAATGTACAGTCTTTCCAAATCAGCCGGGTTCAGATCCACATTTTGTTTGAAAATTTTAGATTCTACAGAATTGTTACAAAATGTTTAAGTGCCGTCCGAATGTGGAAATTGTTCTTTTTAAGGCCTTCATAAAAACACTTTCAAAATTAGGGATGAATTTATGTGTTTTCCACAATTCTGCGCAAATGCAGTTCTTTCCCCTTAAGAATTCCACACTTCACAGTGGTCGTACAAGAGTCAACAGCAACAACAACAACTTCCATTTATATAGAGCCCTTCGCGCAGGTTAGCGTCCTGGAGCGCTTTACAGTGGCTGAGTCTGACAAGTGTAGAGGTACGACACTTCAAAGCAACCCATTTTGTGAAGCATGTTGAAATATTTCTGAATGAAATGCAATTGTTATTCAGTTTTTAGAAATGTATTATTTATGGACTCTTTCCACATTGGCTGATTTAGAAAAAGAAGAAATATTCAACATTGTAGGTGAGCTGCCATTGGCTGCTAGATTTTCATTAAAGCTAAAGAGATCACAGTTTATTTCAAACAGCCTTCAGAAAGCTGTGTGCTCATACAATAATGTTTGTGATTGTCTAACACAATTCCATTAAACAGAGTTTATTGCTGATTTGAATAGAAAGAGGAGCGACAGATCTAATATCACCAAAGGGTCACAAAAATATTCTAGAGTACAATACTTAGCTCTGGAGAATGTCCAGAATGGATATTTTTCAAGGTTAAACACTCTAACCCCTTGAAACTTCACACGATGCTCATTTCAGCTGAGTATGGGCTCTGCAAGCTGAAGTGAAAAGGTTCATTTAATTAAAATCTAACAGGAAAGTAGCCAAATGGATTTCAGATACTCCAGTGACTATGTCCTTGTCACAGTCAGATGTCCTCTTCTGAAAGCTTTTAGCACCAGATTTAATGAAAGCAACAATGACACAAATCATAAAACAATCAGTAATAGTTCCCAGACATAAATGCTATTTTAAGCAAATACCAAATAAAAGCTAATGGAAATATATGCTAAAAGTGCTTCGCATGTAGAAGATAGAGTAGTCCCCTGTTTTGGTCAGGAAAGGAAACCACTGGTTGTTGCTCAACCTTGCCTAATCTCCTCCAAAGGCACACTTATAAGTTCATTGTAGGGAACGGATGTTGTTTGCTGGAGACGACTGTCATGCATTTCACTGGTATGCATCATTAAACATATAAGGCGAGCAATTTCCCTATTTTCCATAATCTGGTACTGCATCTCACACAGACCAGCCGTCTAAAGATAGCTGCTAATTCACAAATGCTTGCAGATAAAGGAACTACTGGGCACAGTGTGACAGGCGTACTAAACAATTTTGATGTTATACTTCAACACCCTCTGAAATCTCTCTATTCCTGCGACATCAACATCCGCAGTAAGAAGAAGCACTTATATATAGCAGCGTCTTTCAAACAGGAAAATGTCTTCGCGGTTCACAGAGATGAAATGGGAGCTTGAGCAAGGTGGGGTATGAGAGGATGGTGGAGGATGAGAGGATGGTGGAGAAGGGAGGTGATCAAAGGCGCAGTTAAAGCGATAGGTCTAGAAGGGCTTTGAAAGCAGAAAGAGAGAGGTTGCAATGTCAAAGGATTTGGAGAGAGAGTCCTGATGTTGGGATGAAGGGACACAAAGCAAACCTGAGTTAGCAGAGTGGACAGGGGGACAGGACTGCTGGAAATCACAGAAGTAGGATGAGGCAAGGTGTGGAAGTATTTGAAAGTTAGACCAAGCGAGGGAGTAAACTGTCTGCCATGGAACTGACTCTCATAAGAAAACACAAGTCCGTATCATAGGGTTGTGAAAGCGAAGGTCCACTTATTGGAATTGCTGTAAAACGTGGGAGCGAGTGAACAGTTCCCAAAAAGAGGAAGCTAATAATATTTGGAGTGTGGGTGTAGTTTTAGGCACCTTACTTTCAAAGCATTGTTGGTGCATTGGAAATATTTTAGAGAAGAGCAAAGATGATTCGGGGACATTTTGCTTCTGAGTTAGGAGGTTATTATGAGGACAGACTCCTATAACTAAGAGAAACAAAGACAGAGAAGACACAATCTTTTTTTTAATGTTAAGGAATGAGCAATAAAGTCAAAACCAGAGATAGAAACATGACCATATCATGAACAACCCCAAACAAGATTTGAGATTAGGAAATTTATCTTCACTGAGTTAAGGTACGTGGAATAGACTGCCAGACAGGGGATTGTTGATTAACTCTTATTTAAGGAAAAGGCAGGATGAATATCTCGTCAGAAAAAAGAGTGAGGATCATGAGAATATAGAATGGACGGCCTCAGAAAGTCATAGATGGTCAACCGTGCCATTCAAAAGAATGAACAATACTTGATATTAAGGAAAACTAATGGAAAGGCTGATCAATAGAATTAAAGAGAGTTGCTTTTGACTGAAATGCGGGACAGTTCAACAAATCAAATGGCATACGACCATTTTTATGTTTGTCTGTTAGCTAATAATTTGCCTTAACTCTAGTATTTTGATACTGAATTTCTTGTCTCAAATCTCTCAACTCCCAAGTCATTGGAAAAGGTGAACATTGCAACACAGTCTCAAACTAAATGGATTACAAGTTTGTTGTGTCGACAAACTGAATAGCAAAGAGCAAACATAAATAACTGACAGAGTGCAATTCTAATATAAAAACATAAAATGACAAAATGTCAGGTCAATCTAGCCTTACATATGAAAAAAATGCCACGGGTGAGCGACTGATATATGAATGCATATTATCAAAAACAACACAGATTTAAGAAACAATTTGAACATGTAAGAGAATACAGTTATACTATATTTTATTGAAGAACTGATTGGAGCAACAATACCTTACATTCATACAGCG